CCCTGTACCCTCACATGACCTCCACAGGCAACAAGCACATGCATGGTTCACATGCATATATGCAGACAAAACACTTGCACATAAAATAAAACTAATAAACCCTTTTTAAAGAACAATCCTTAATGCTTTTGTATTTTAGTTCACTTCATATATTAATTGATTTTCATTGCACATTTTTCATTATCGGACAATCTTTAATCTTTCTCTTTTTGTTTATTCTTTATTATTCTCCCCCCCTTCCCCACCCCCACCACCATTTTTAAATTTTCCCTTTCTTTTTTTCCCCCAGAAACAGTTTAGTGTTTGGGCAGAAATAGACATGTAAACCAGTGGAATAGAACAGAGGACACAGAAAACAACACACAGCCACATAATTTTCAACAAGGTTTCAAAACAGCACACTGGGGAAAAGATGGGCTCTTCAACAAGTGGTCCAGGAAAAGTGAATTTCTATGCATGCAAAAATGAAACCAGAGCCTCACTTTGCCCCAGGCTTGCTTCAGGATCTACTGGAGACTTGAACACAAGTCTGAAACTTTCCGGCTAGAGAAAAACACGGGTAAAACACTTGAAGATACAGGCAGGGACAGGAACTTTCTAACAAGGACTCCAACAGACCAGAAAATAACAAAAATGGTGTCACATAAAACTTAATTCTGTCCAGCAAGCAGAACCATTGCCAGAGTACAGAGAATTTGGAAAAATATACACCTACCACATATCAGTCGGGTAATTAGTGCAAAAAATAAACATCAAAAAACATCCCATCAATAAATAGGCTAATCAAATGAATAGACAGTTCTCAAGAGAAAAAGTACAGGTCAATACGTATTTGCAAAAGTATTCAGTACCCTGAATCATATGGGAAGTGGAAATGAAAACTGGAGATTCCGTCTTATCCCAGTCAGAGTGGCTATTACCGGGAAATCAAAGACTGGTGAGAATGGGGGGAATGAAGTGTACTTCTGTTGTGTTGGAGGGAATGTAAACGTGTACAGCCCCTATGGAAAAGTCAGTGTGCAGACCTTTCAGAAAGCTGAAACTACCCTATGACCCATCCATCCCAATCCTGGGTGCACACTCAAAAGACTAGACATTCCACAGAGACACCCGAGCATCCATGTTTATTATCGATGTGTTCACATTTGCTAGAAAACGGAGCCTACCTCGATGTCCAATGAATGGCTAAAGGACAGAGGGGAAAATGTGGTATACATCACACACACACACACAAAATGGAATTTCATTCGGTCACAGAGAAAAACTGAAATTACCTGCAGAAAAGCATCTATAACTGGAAAATATTATGTTAAACAAAATAAATCAGACTTGGGAAAGCAGACACCACATGTTAAATGTGTGGAATATAGATTGAAATGTGTGAGTGTGTGTGTGTGTGTGTATGTGTGTGTGTATGTGTGTGTGTGTGTGTGTGTATGTGAAAAGGGAAGAAAGGGAGGAAAGAGAGGAGAGAGCAATGTTAAGGGAGGTGAGGAGATCAAGAAGAGACAGTAATAAATGCATGTGATAGGCTGTCACACTGTTGGAGGGAAGGAGAGTTGAAGGGTGGCCATGGGGAGAGGATGAATAGGAACTAAGTACAGTGGTATATATGTTTGAAAATGTCATAATGGAACGCATCACATTGAATGCTAACTTAAAAGTTGGATTTAAAGGGGTCCCGGGGAGATACCTCAGTCAGCAGAACTCTTGATGGGTAAGCTTGGTGACCTGAGTTTGATTCCCAGGTCCCACAACTAAAGAGTCAGGTGTGTTGGCACTCTCTTGCCATCCAGGTGCTGGAGAGACAGGGACAGGCAGATGGAAGGGCACACTCGCCAGCCAGGTTAGCCTAATCGGTGAACTACAGGCTAGAAAGGAACTATTTCAAAGAATAAGAACAGCTCCTGGGGAATGAGGAATGACACATTCAAGGCTGCCCCATGTCCACACACTGGAGTATTACTCAGCCTTTGAAAAGAAGGAACTGCTGTTATCTTTGGCATCATAGATGAACTTGGAGGCGTAATCACCAGTGAACTAACAAGATACTTGGGGGTTCAGCTGTCATCTCAGCCCTCAGGAAACAGAGGCAGGAGGATTGTCTGTTGAAAACTAGTTAGATTATACAGCAAGTTCAAGGTGAGCCTGAGCTACACAGTAAGACCTTGTTTCAAAGACAAATTAAAAAACATAACAAGGATTTGAAGTACCGCTTGTTGGCCAAGTGCCTGTCTGGATTGTGCCATCCCTGTTTAATCCTCAGGAAAAGGGGTTGGAGGACAGAGAGATCATGTTCTCACTTACATATAGACCTTTTTTGGTGTTTTGTTTTTTGTTTGTTTTTTTTTCTAGACAGGGTTTATCTGTATGGCCCTGACTGTCCTGGAACTTGCTCTGTAGACCAGGATGGCCTCAAACTTACAGAGATCCTCCTACCTCTGCTTCTGAGTGCTGGGATTAAAGGCCTGCATGACCACTGCCTGGCTTGATTTTTGTTGTTGTTTTGGTTTGTTTGGTTTTTGGGGGGTGGGGGTTGTTCCATGTAGAACTTTTTAAAAGTCATACTTGCAGAAGCAGCGAGCATAGCCGCCTGGGGCTGACTGGGAGAAGACACTGGTCAAAGGGTATGATTTCAATTCTATTACTCCATTGTGACTAAAGTTAAAAATGATATAGCAAATACTTAAGACAACTGAGAGAATATATCATAAATGTCCTGAGCAGGATTCTGTGATGAAGGTGAGTCTCCCCCAACACCTTCATTATTCTTGTAACAGAACAAGAAAATAGGCCTCGCTCAGCCAGGGCTTTCTTGGCTCAATCTGCAGTTGTGGTTCTCCAAAAATAGTTTACTGAGCTCTTGCCATACTCCTGGTATATGAAGAATAAAGAAACAAGAAAGCATTTTCTGCCTAAAATTTTTATTTTACATTTAAAAAGTCATCTCAATCAGAAAAAAAATGGACCACTGAGTTTTATGTCAACTTGATATGGACAAGAATTGTTGGAGAGATGGGAGCCTCATTTGAGAAAATGCCTCCATAAGATCTGGCTGCAAGCAAGCCTGTAGGGCATTTTCTTAATGATTCAAGTAGGAGTCCCAGTTCATTGTGGTGGGAGCCATCCCTGGGCTGGTGGTCCTGAGTTCTATAAGAAAGCAGGATGAAGCTGGGCGGTGGTGGCACACGCCTTTAATCCCAGCACTCGGGAGGCAGAGGCAGGAGGATCTCTGTGAGTTTGAGACCAGTCTGATCTACAAGGGCTAGTTCCAAGACAACATCCAAAGCCACTCATAGAAACCCTATCTTGAAAAACAAAAACAAAACAAAACAAAAAAAAGAGCAGCCTGAACAAGCCACTGAGACAAACCAGTAAGCATCACTCCTCCATGGCCTTCACATCAGTGTTTGCCTCCAGATTCCTGCACTGCTTGAGTTCCTGTCCTCTGATGATGGGCTGTGATAGGGAAGCATAAGACATATAAAGCCTTCCCTCCCCTACTTGCTTTGTTTGCGCCTTCCATCGCAGCACTAGAAACCTAACTAGGACACATGTTCAGTGAGAAGTATGTTTTTTTAAAAAAAAGATCTATTATTTGTTTATAGATCTAATTATTATTATAAAGATCCATTATTTATTTTGTATACAGTGTTCCACCTGAATGTATTCCTGCAGGCCAGGAGAGGGCACCAGATCTCATTATACAAGGCTGTGAGCCACGATATGGGAATTGAACTCAGGACGTCTGAAAGAGCAGCCAGTGATCTTAACCTCTGAGCCCTCTCTCCAGCCCTAGGCTAATGATATGCAGCCTGTTATTTTCTATAGCAAGAATAGAGAGGCTGACTTCACTATCATTTTCCTCTTGCGTGCACAGCAGGAAAGAAACACAGTAACAAACCCAGGCTGAGCTTTCCCTGTCCTTGCATTATCATTACACTCTGGTACAGTCCTCTCAGGAGGCACAAGCAAGTAAACAAATCAAGTGGTATAGCTTTGTTCCTGACAAAGTCTGAGAAATCGTTGCAGCTATGAGCTACTACAGTAGAAATGCCAAATGATACAATGTCTAGGGCATGCTCAGTGTCCCGGCTGGCATGCAAATGCTGTCTGACCATGTACTGTGGCAGAGCACACGCTTCAAATCATACGCTTGACTACAAACAGATCTCTTAGATAACCACTGTGAAAAACTAAACAAAAAGAAACTCAACGTCTCTTTCATGGCAGAATACCTGCAATGTAAGGGAATTACCCACGCTTCACAGTCTCAGTGTGAGCTGCCCATTAGAATAACCCGTGAAGAACTGTTTAAGTCACCAAACCAGGCATCATCCCAGGGAGTCCTAATGAGTTGATCTGGGCCAAGATTAAACAGTGTAGTTCTCAGATGTTCTCAGGATGAAGGGAAGGTGTAGAATTGCAGCCACCCTGTGGCGCTAATGGGCTTCCTACCTCCTCCACAGCTCTGTCACTGACTAGTCATTTAAGCCTAATGCAATGTACTCCTCAGCCTGAACTTCCTCCTCAATAAAACGTTGGTAACAACAGCTAACAAACACATAAAGAGTCTGGAACAGAGCTGGAATACAAATACTCACTGTCATGGTCATGTTAACTGTGATGATGATGGTGATGATAATGCTCATGTTGATGATGATGATGATGATGATGATGATGATGGTGATGTTAATGACGGTAGCAGTGGTGGTGATGGTGACAATGATGATGACGGTGGTGGTGGTAATAATGACAAGAATGGGGCATTTTCCCTGAGGCTAGGGCTACAGCACATTTCTTCATTCCAGAAAGCAAAGACTATAATTTAAACTCATGAGTTATCATCTTTACCATGACTTTCCTCACTTAAATTGAGCCTCTAGAATCTACCACAATTCTGAGCTCATATGAGTTGGTATCTGGACTCCATAGTGGCATGTGGCAGTCTGTATCTTCCATCTACAGCAAAAAAGGTGCTCCCTCAGGCACTCACTCACCTGGGGTTGAAATGAATGTCCTTGGGAAGCCCTCTGTGGTCTATGACCACTTTCTGGTTGTCTCTGTAATTGGCAGGGTCATCAGGAATCCTGAATTTGGCCATCTGAATCTCAGAGTCACTCAGTTCAGCATGAGAAATTCTTGCATAACCCAACCTGGAGCAGATATAGAAATGGTTTGTAAAATGTCTCATTATAAAAATACTCTGATGAAGATGGGAAGTGGTGTCACACGTCTTTAGTCCCAGCACTTGGGTAGCAGAGGCAGGTGGATCTCTGAGTTCAAGGCCAGCCTGCTCTACAGATCAAGTTCCAAGACAACCAGGGTTATACAGAGAAACACTGTCTCAAAAAAAAAGAAAAGAAAACAAAAACACACTAGTTCTTTGCAGGGCAATTGGTGGCGCACACCTTTAGTTCCAGCACTCATAAAGCAGAGACAGGAGGATTTCTGTGAGTTCTAGGTCAGCCTGGTCTACTGATCATGTTCCAGGACAGCTATATGGAGAAACCCTGTCTTGAAAAACAACAAACAAGCCAACAAGAAAAACTTCTGACAAGTAGAACAAAGTCCAGCCAAAATTAGTGAACTCTTAATGGTAGCACCTTCTGTATTAAGCTGGTTTCCCATTTCTAACTTGGCTTCATGTATCATGATTAGAATTAAATTGATTTATTACCTTAAATATAAACAGAAATATTGTTTTCATAACATGGTAAATGAATAATGAATATGTACACAGTTTTAATTAACTCCACTTAGCAGCCTTGCTTTAGTTTTTTATTCAAATGAATGTTCTATCTACACAAAGTGCTTCCCGTATAATTAAATTTTGAGTTAATAAGCTAATAACAGGATCTCTTCAGAGTGACACAAATGCATGCTTGCATTTTTTAATTTCAAAATCCAAACATCCCATGCAGATTTCTAGGCACATTTAGTAGTCTAAAATCAGGGATTTTATATGTCTGAAAACTTTTCCACATCCTGTTTGGCTTAGAGCTTTTGGCTCTCTGGAAAAGTCAAAACACTTTAGAGACTTTATCCAAACAGTTCATAGTGAAGTTCTCAGATGGGAAAACAGAGAAACCACAGCAGCGAAGAGTTCATCTTCCTTTAGTTAGACTTTGCCTCTTCCCAAAAGAATGCTTGCATCATTTTCACGCGACTGTGGATTTGCGAGGAAATAGAAGGAAGCCCTTGCTCACAGTAACCATTTGTTCTAATTCCAAAGGTATAGAGAGTACGGAGAGCTGGTTGGCAGAGATAGCCGCCTCACAGAGCATGCGTAGGAAGGACCTCTTTGAAAAATAACACTGCAGGATTGGAGAGATGGCTCAGAGATTAAGAGCACTGACTGCTCCTCCAGAGGTCCTGAGTTCAATCCCCAGCAGTCACAGAGTGGTTCACAACTATTCTGGTGGGCAGAACTATATACATATAATCTTGTTTTTAAAAAAAGAAAAACAACATTAGAACAAGACACTGAACGATAAGGGGCAAGCAAGACAGACAGTGGAGTGAGGGCCTTGTGGGGAAGGGATAAGGAAGGCAAAGTCTCAGAGGTGTGTGGTGTTTGGGGAATCAACTGCGCCAGGACTGAATAAAGAATGTGAAAGGCATGAGCTTGGGACAGAGGGGAAGTAGAGAAGAATTCTTCCTTGTATACACCTATGAGGACTCCAGTTCCTATCCAAGAAGAAGATGAGAGGACTGGGAACCCATCAGAAGGGTTGAGGCAGAGATCTGTGGTGGCTGCGGTGTAGAGTACGCATCACAGGAAGTTGAGGCGGGGAAACTATTAGAAAGGTAAGAAAGGGGGCTTCGGCCAGAGTGGGGAGTGGGATGAGGAGAACGCTTAAAGCTGAAACTGACAAAACCTGTGAAAGAAAAACAGAAACAAAGCACCCGGGTGGGTGGAGGCAGCCCGCCTTCCCAAGACAAAGAGAGGGCAGGAGCTATAGCCCTGTCGGACGGACAGAGGATCTGAGCTGTCACACAAGCTCAGAACTATAGCTTCTGGTAATCCTAAAGCATGCCTCTGATAAATCGGGGTATATATTTCTCAAATCTCTAGGATCAAAGTTTTAAACTGTTTCTTAGACATGACCTTCAAAGATGTTCCTGAAGTCCTTGAAGACAAGGAATGTGACTATATGAATAGCACCCTGAGGCATGGGGGCGCCCATTGTTGTGCAATTATTATTAATGCCTCCAAAGTGTGGGGCAGTGAACTGGGTGATTGAGAGACAACACTTTTGATTGAGTACCTAGGAAGGGTCGTGTGAGCTTTGAACAAGAAGACAGCCATGTACCACCCAAAGGGAGAGTCCTAACCAAACACCAACCCTGCTGCCTTGTACAGCTTCAAGATCTTTGAGAATATGAATGGCTTTTATTTAAACAACCCACTCATTCTACAGTATTTTGCTGGGGCAACCAGGGGAGATGAGTGCATAAGCTCTAACACACACACACACACACACACACACACACACACACACACACACACACACTGGAACTGTTATACATATTTCAGTCTACATCAAAGCTTGTTTTCTAGAATTCTGATATCCTATGACAAATGCTTAAATGAGGAATGAAATGGAAACAGTATTGTCAATCTTAGATATGAAGTGCTTATAAAGTGGCATGTTCTACCACAGCTCTTTGGAAACACTGAAGCAGTAGTCAGGCCAGTCCTCCAGCAGCTAGTTTTCTGAGCTATGGCTGGAGAGTCTTTGAACCAGCCCTGTAACTAGGATGACCGTTATAGCCCCTAAACAGCTTCCTGGACTTCCTTCAGGAAGTATGTGAGCCACCCAGTGAGTCGTCCAAGGGCCAATAAGGTCACCCTTATGCTTCTATTCAGAGTCCTTAATAAGGGTCTACAGAACCTGACAAGATCTGCTCCCCTCCTCTCTGTTATAAGATTCACCCACTTCCTCATCCACTTTCCAACCCCTACACAGGTCCCTAGCATCACCTCCCTGCAAACAAAACACCCTGTGCTAGGGCCTCTCACTCTCTGGTTCCTGTATCTGGAAGGCTCATCTCCCAATGGAACCGTTCTCACTGTGCATTAATCACATATTGTTGTGTTTAATAGTTTACAGTAGTACCCTCATGATATCACTAAATTTGCTTAGCTATTTATGCCTTCTTTTTTGTTTGTTTATTTGGTTTTTGAGGAAGGGTGTCTCTGTGTTGCAGCCCAGGCTGTCCTGGAACTCACTTTGTAGACCAGGCTGGCTTCGAACTAACAGAGATCCGCCTGCCTTGGCCTTCTGAGTGCTGGGATTAAAGGCGTGCGCCACCAACAGTTTGGTTCTGCCTTCTCAAACTACTAAATGTCAAAACTGTTCAATAATGAACGCTTGTGAAGAACAGCAAAGTGAACTGCTTCCATGACGCTTTGCATCCTCGAATTCATAGATTTAAATAAAAAATGCCCTTGCTCACCTGATCAGGCCCCGATACATGATGTATTCACACCACCTGTGTTGATCTGAGCTGTCAATATCCTGTTTGAAAGCAGAGAGGAGAATGCTTAAAATCACGAAAAGAATACTCTACTCTGAATTACCCAAAAAGATGAAAGGAAAAGGAAAGAGAAGGAGAGAAGGAAAAAAGGAAGACAAGGAAGGAAGGGAGGGAGGAAGGGAGGGAGGGAGGGAGGGACGGAGGGAGGGAGGGACGGAGGGAGGGACGGAGGGAGGAGAGCTTGAGTGCAGATCATAGTCTCACCCCCCTCCTACTGATTCTTCATGCATGAACTACTCATTCACACTGGAGAAGGTTTCTGAGAAGTTACTATGCCCCTCTACTTCTGCACCAGCTGCCAGAAACACAGTGACTACAGGGAATGATGGGTAGGTCAGTGGTGGCTCTGTTGTCTCACCTCCTGCGGCTCACCTCCTGCGGCTTTCCAAACCTGTCACCCCCCCTCCCCAACAGAACTGGGAGCCCCTGGGCCGGTCCCCAGTCCTCCTAACCAGGTTCCTCACACCAGCTACATCCCAGTGCCACCGCGGCTGGTTTGTGTCCCCTCCCTCAGCTCTCCGTGCGGAGTGAACTCCCCTCTAAGGACCTTCAGCTGTCTGGTGCTTAGCACAAAGCCTGGGACTGGCCAGTGCTTGGTGTGTGCTTAAGAAATCAAATCATAGAGAGAAACATATCCAGGACCAGTCTAGACTCTTTTGATGTTGAAGGTTTGAAACCAGGTTCATTTTTCATCAGAGAAGGAGATGGGAATTTTTTTCTATAATGTACTAGGAAAACAACATCAATATGGAGATTTGTGGCTGAAAGAAGAAATCCCCATTTCCTTCTTCTCAAATAGCCTATAAATAAAAAAAAATTCACTTGAATTTTTACCTCCTCTAAATTTAACTTAAAATACATTTCCTATTACTAAGAAATGTGCCATGATTTATGATTCTTATTTGCTATAGTATGGGCACCTGGATGTTAGTCTTAGTTATTGTTTATTATACACATCATTTATATGCAATAGAACATGTAAATAAATATTAGGAATTGGGTTTAAATTTTAAAAAAACTATGAAAAGCAAATAAATTTTAAAAAGTAGCATTATGTTTGCCTTGGGAGAGAGATAATAATTTAGTCATTTAGCTATAGATACCAGAACTAACCAACTATGAATCTGTTTAACTGTTATTTTACTTCATTAAGATTTTTATATGGTGCTGTAAAAATTTAAGACTAGAGAATTTAATTACTCATTTCTTAAAGAGAAAAATCTGTTCATCCAAGCATTTATAATTAAAATTCCTCTACACATCAATTAACTTCCTTGTAGAATGCAGTATCAGAGCCCACTGCCAATCAAAACAGCTTTTAACCTTATCCGGAAAACCAACAGAGATCAAATGCTTGCATGCATTCCTTACACAGAGAGCCCATAAGCCTGTAATTCCAACGCCTAGGTTTTCCTTTGCCGCCTCAGCTCTCCCAGGCTCTTTCCTAAGACGGGTGCTTTCTCTTCTCTCCCTCCCCACCCCATAACAGCTATCAGTTGAATGTGATTGGACGCATCCCCCAAAGCTTCATGGGATGGAAGCTTGGACTCTTCTGTGGCCATGTTGCAATGTGGAAACTTTATGGGTCGGGGCCTGGTAGAAAGTGGGTAAGTCATAGGTCGCCTCCTTCAGAGGGGTTAATACTGGTCTCACAAAGAGTAGAGTCAGCTGTCCCAAAATGAGCCTGCACTTGCCCCCTCCTCCTGGGGCCGTCTCCTTTACCTTTCATCCATTGTGTTGTGATACCGTGAGATGGCCTTTGCCACAGGCTGAACAGACAAGGCTGCCTAATCTTATAATGTCTGCCTTCAAACTGTGAGGTAAACAGACATTTTCTTCATAAACTACCCACACACAAACCAGAGCAATAAAGGCAGCTGTCTGTGGCTTCCTTCTGCACCTTCTTCAACTCCTTAAGGAAAGTCACCCATGCCCGTGGCTTGAAAGATTGCCTAGCTCTAATCCTGATTAAGATCCAAGATCTATATATCCTCTTGTCCTTCGGATATCTCCATTATGCCATGCACATGCCTCAAACTCAGCCCAAAACTGAGTTCATCCCCTGCAATGCTGTTTTTCTTCAGGTCTTTTCTGTAATAAATGTCACCACCACAGCCAAAATGAGGAATACGTTAACTCTACTGCCTACTCAATGAATGCAGAGACTAACTCATCTCCCTCATCTCCCAATGTCACCCCTTTTCTGAAGAGCCATCTGTGTGTGTGTGTGTGTGTGTGTATGTGTGTGTGTATGTGTGTGTGGTGTGTATGTGTGTGGTGTGTGTATGTGTGTGGTGTGGTGTGGTGTGTGTGTGTGTGCGCACAATCAAGATGGATTGCTCTACTTCCAGTCTTTCATACATTGAAGCATGACCATAATAATCAATTCCAGTCAAAGACATAAAAACACAAGAGTCACCTTCCCGGAGTTTGAATTTAGAGATAACCTACATACACTCTTGGCCTCTTCTTTAGCTCTTTCTCTATCTTTCCAAATAGAACATGGATGCTGTTTTATGTGACCAAACCATAGGAATAGAAACCATGATAGTGGAGGCCATGGTACGGGAAGTGGGGAGCACACAGCAACAGAGGCCATGGCAGCAGAGACCTGATGGAGTGAAACCACGTTAGAGAAATTACAATTCCAGACAGTGCAGAGTGAGTGTCCCACCAGTGCTGATACTTCACCAAGTCTTCTATAGCAATAAGCATGCTTCTCATTCCCACCACCATCATTTGAGTCACCTGCCAAAACCCTCATTACACTGTGTCTAACACCTGTCCAATGCCACATTCTAAAGACAGAGTAGTAAAGTTGGCCAACTCTCTACAGACATCTCCAGACATGAGGTTCAAAACAAAACAAAAAGGACAGAGATCTCCACTGAGCCTAATCAAACAGCAATTGTGTTCTTCCTATAAACTAATGTGTGTTGTGGTCTGGTGCATGGATCAGTCTCTTGGGTGTTTGGTTTGTATATTACTTCCTAAGAGCTTGGTTATGTCAGGGTACAGTGAAAAGTGTTTTAGACCTAGAAAGGTACAGTAAGGCCCGTGTGACCTGGAAGCCACTCTTTCTGATATTCCTTTTCGGCTTCTAGTCACAGCCTTGGAACTGACTCTCCCCGTGTGCTGGATTTTATTTTCTAAGTTCAGTTACAATAACACGACACTGGCCCTGTGGAATTCTTACTAGATGTCTTTGACACTCCTCAAGTCAAGGAGTGGGATTTATGTTCCTTCAGGTCAACGTGGTAAGAATTACGATGAAAGCAGAAGTGACACTGTGTCACTTGGACAGTTAAGTCTCAAAGGACAATACAGGCTCTCCCCTTGTTTACTCACTCTGGAACCTAGCCACCAAAAGGGAGGAAGCCCAGTTAGCCCATGAGTAGGAGCCATAGTTCCAAGCCGAAAGCATTGCTTGTAAATCCTACACACAGGAAATCCTGTAGTATCCAAGAAACAGCTCACTGCCCCTGTGTGAAGCACAATTGAGCCATCCTCGCTGAACCCTGGTCACGGCGATGATCAGTGAGCAAATTGCTGTGTTCTGTTGTGTTGTGTAAGCAGTGGACTGTGCAGTGCTTTTTTGTGTGCAATGAGCAGGGTATTGGGAAGATGATTCAGTTGGAAAGGGGCTTACCACACAATTCAGGGTTCAGATCTAGAACACATATAAAAATCTGGGCACAGCTGGTACATGCTTATAATTCTAGCCTTGGGAAAGCAGATACAAACAGATTCCAGGGTGTATCCCATGAGTTCCAGATTCAGTGAGAGATGCTGTCTCAAAACAATATGACCTCTAATGGCACACACACACACACACACACACACACACACACACACACACTCGTTTGTGTTTTTTGGGTTGGATTTTCTAAGCATATGGAAATAAAGAAGCTTTTAACTTAATAAAAATCATAATTAAAATTATGTTACCTTGACGTTGCCATGTTGTGTGAGTTGTAGGTAATCTCTGGAACCAGGCTCTGAAGTGATGTAGCCTAGAAATATCACTTGGTTTGAGCAATTTTTCAGTAGTTTTGAAACGGCAATAGCCTGTAACTTCCTGTCAAGGTCATCCCTTAAAAAATAAATGCAAAAATGGAGCCTCTTCATTATATGTGTAAAACAATTAAATTCCCCCCAAATATCCTCAAACAGGTTACAAATTTTCTGTTGGGGAAAAGTCTAAGTTTTTACAACGAACAGGACATAGACCAGCACTGCAAACTGGGCTTGACAAACTCTTGACTAATAAAAACCTTTCTTCAGAAACCACTAAGTCAAGCATTTTTAAAAATATCTGCTGGGAGCCTGGTGGTGGTGCCACATGCCTTTAGTTCCAACACTTGGGAAAACAGAAACAGGTGGAGCTCTGTGAGTTCAAGGCCAGCCTGGTCTACAGAGTGAGTTCGAGGATGGGCTCCAAAGCTACACAAAAATACCCTGTCTAGAAAAAAACGAACACAAAAAAATCTGTGCTGGGGCTGACGAGACAGCTTAGCACTCCGGAGTGCTAGCGGCTCTTGGAGAGGAATGGGATTTGGTTCCCAGCATCCCTGTCAGGCAGCTCACAACCTGAGTGCTTCAGATTCAGGGCACCTGTCACCCTCTTCTGGTTTTCTCGGGCACTTACACTGATGCCTACATCCCCACTCCCAGGCACAGACACACAGGTTAAAAATCGAACAAATATTTAAGTTTATATGCCAAAATACAGGATTTGTTCCATTTTTCTTTATTATGAATGAGTCACATCAGGGGTGATGATGCAATGTAACTCGTCAAGGTAGAGCCCTTGCCTGACGTGCATGAAGGCTCTGTGCTTACTCTCCAACGTTGCAAGTAAATGTAAATGCACAAGTTAAAGGAGGAAGTGTGACAGCGATGTGAACCCTGGTCATCAGGATGGCCACTAAAGGACTAACAGCCGCCTGGCATTGGCATCCTGGAGGATCTTTCTTTGATTTTTTTTTGGTTTGTTTCTGTTTTGTTATCTTTGACACAGGGTTTCTTTTTGTAGCCCCAGCTGTCCTAGAAGCCCCTTTATAGACCAGGCTGACCTTGAACTCTGAGAGAGTTGGAACCTTCATAGAACAGTTCAGGCTTGTGCAACCCACACTGTTACTTTTATAAGATTTATTTATTATGTATACAGTGTTCTGCATGCATGTATCCCTGCATGCCAGAAGAGGATGGCTGTGAGTCACCATGAGGTTGCTGGGAATTGAACTCAGGACCTCCGGAAGAGCAGCCAGTGCTCTTAACCTCTGAGCCATCTCTCCAGGCCCCACCCCCACGCTATTACTTTGGCTGAACGTTCTCTGAATACATCCTCTGCTCTCTTGTCCAAATACTGGCTGTGCATCTTGTTACTAATATACTAATTACCGTAGGCATGAAACAAATAAGCAGGCATGTACATTAGCTTTTGAGGGGGTCTACTGTCTCAGAGAAAAGAACACACTTGTTTGACCTATCAGGAAAATAGAGGCACCCCAGAAGTTTCAAACAACATGAATTTAGCGTAGGGAACTGGCTAATTATGTGATGAGAAGCCAGTCTGGGACCAGTGATGCAATCAGAGGTTGGCAGCAATGAGACACCAACACTACCTCTACAGCTAGAGGTGAGGCAGGAGGAGGTGACACTACCAGAAGCCAGCACTGGCTAGAGGAAGTTAGACTACAGCAGGGACTCCATGATGGAACAGAGGCCATCCAGCAAGCACCTGCAGCCACAGAAGAGATTGGTGGCTTGCAGAGACACCAGATAAAGCACAGAGAAGGGTGAGAAATGCCCTGGCTTATTCCTTTTCATGTCTTCCCAGCTTGTGCCTCTCATTGGCTAAGTCTGCCTAGAAAGTAGAAGGCAAAGGACTTTGGGAAATTTCATTCCTTGAAATGTATAGAAACAGATGGCAGCAAGGAATAGATCCATAAGTAAACAAGTAGTTTCTTTTTTCCTTCCTTCCTTTTTCTTTCTCCCCGCCTCCCCCAAGACAGGATTTCTCTGTGTAGCTCTGGCTGTCCTAGAACTTGCTCTGTAGACCAGGCTAGCCTCGAACTCAGAGATCCACCAGCTTCTGCCCCGCCCCCCTCCTCATCCCCCAACTCCCCGCTGCTGGCAGTGCCGGCAGTAAAGGAGTGGGCTGCCACCACTTATAGAAAGATAGCTGATGAGTGTTAGAGGGGCTACAGGGACAAAGCAAGATGTGCGGAGACCGCCAGGACTGAGAATGTGGGAGGACTCCTACTGAAGGACAGGACCTTGAGGAGTAAGTATGTGTGGCTAGCAAGTGCTGCCTGTCAGTTCTGAAAACGTGAGCAAAGACAGGAGTGTCACTTAGTGTCCTCAGATCCCAACACTACAACTGTTTGTGCCAATAACCCTCTAGGGATAGGGTGTGTGTGTGTGTGTGTGTGTGTGTGTGTGTGTGTGTGTGTGTGTTCTGCAGCTGGTTTAATGTGTGGTTCCAAGCACTTGTGACCTCTGACTTGGTTCTGACTTCTTCCTGTTGTGTGGCCCTGTTGTGTCACCTAGCCTCTGCCCACCTAAAGTCTTCACGTGCAGAATGAGGCCAGTATGGTGCTTTACCTACACAACTACAGGGCCAAACACAGTCACACAGTGGGGGGGGGGGCTGCTGTACAAGGACTGCATCTCAGCCAGCAACACAAAGAAGACAATCTAAGATTTTTTTTTAAGAATAGAAAGTCAGAAAGACTGTTTCATTAAAAAAAATCAAAGCAATGTTTTAATAAATGCTTCCTGTCACTTCTATAATAGTAAGTAAACCAAAGACACCCACTCATGATTTCCAAAGTGCGTCACCACGAAGTCCACCAGTTTGTTGGAGACATTAACAGTCAGAGTTATGGCTGGTGCAATCTCGCCCTCTGGCGACGGAAGAAGGTGATGCTCCGATCGCACAATTGGGTACCGGGACAGCGCCATAATCCTGTGTACGGAAAAGGAAGCAGAGCAGTGTGGGTCTCAGCCTATCACGGAGAGAGATGGAGGAAATGCTCTGAAGAGTCATGTCACAGGACAGGCATCCACTGAGGGGCACTCAGAGCAGGAATGTGGCAAAGACGCCTATGGTGGTTCATTGCCTCTTCCTGTTTAGCCTGCCTGGCTGCATCACTCATGACAGTACCAAACGTGTTTCAGTAAATGCCACGAAGACAAGGAAAAGGCCGCACTGAGAAGATGAAAAGTCCATTTTACTTGTGTTGTTACTCTGACAACCGCCCAACCACTCTCTCTCAGAGCTGGTTTTCTCCCTACGTAGCACAATCTCAGGTTGTCTTCTTTGTGAACGTGTTTATAGTTGTCCTTCAGTGTCTGCATAAGACAGGCTCCATGATGCCCACAAACATCAAATGATTGTCTTACGTAAAATCATGTCCCATTTGCATACTCTATATACGTATTCCTGAGTGAGTTAAATCACCTCTAGGTTATTACAGAAAGTAATTTAATGCTTACACATTATTTCATTCACAAGAATTTAATATAGTACTTAATGGGTGGTGAAGTCAAATCTTACTTTTTTAGGGAACTTGCTGCTTTTTGAAGATGTGTGTGCTTGCATGTGGGAATGTGTGCACATGTATGTTTGAGGTTGCACCTGTCTGTGCTCACAGAGGCAAAAAGAGGGGGTCATGTCCCTCAGGACTGGCATTCTGGTATTTGCAGAGATGCCCAGTTTGCTATGTGGGTGGGTGCTAGATCTGAACTGTGATCCCCATTATTGTGCAGCAAAAGCTCTTAACTGCTGAACTATCTCTCTAACCCCACTCTTTGGAACATTCTAGAATTCCTCAAATATTTTCAGTTTCTAGTTGTTTAAATCCAGGAGTGAAGAAGCTGATATGGAAAGCCAACTGTACTGGTCTTCTACACTATAAGTTACCCAAGACTATCAGACAGGCCTGGCACTGTGATGTCACTCCAGCCTTGATGAGCCCATCTTTGTGAAGAACCAGTAAGTAACATCCAGCCCTAGGAAGCCATTATGAACACTCATGACCATGCATTTGTGTTAGCGCCTCCCTGCCTCCCAAGTGCGTCACAGAGGTGTATTCACAGGACAGTCTTAACTTCCTGTCCCAAGCCACTGCTGTTTACTCTTTAGGACTCTGCTGAGAATTAATTCCCAAGGTCTACTCACCCCCACGTGTGATCCCTAGCGCTTGGCCCGAAGTCCGTATAGAAGCCCAACTTCTCCCCCAGCCACATGGTTAAGTCATTGTTCCCAATAAAGGGCTTAGAAGCATCGCTCTCCAAGATGGTAATAAAGTCTGCACCTGTTTGGGGGAAAGGGCAGAAAGCAGACAATGAGGAAATGGCAATATCAAAAGCAACTAGCCAAAAGCTGTATGGACTTTGCTATTGTTTTGTTTTGTTGAGGCCAGGGCTCATTTGGCAGTCGGGCTTGGCCTCGAACTCATGATTCTCATACAGTGTTGGAATTACAGATGCATACCACCACACTCAGCACAATGTTATTCTCTCTTTTTTTCTTTTTTTAAAGATTTATTTGTTTATTATGTATACAGTGCTCTGCCTGCATATTTGCAAAAGAACACACCAGAGCTCATTACAGATGGTTGTGAGCCACCATGTGGTTTCTGGGAATTGAACTCTGGACTTCTGAGTGTTCTTACCCTCTGAGCAATCTCTTTTGCCCCAAAAATGTTATTCTTGACCCTGGTCTTTACTCATAAACCCCCAAAAAGTAATTCCTTATGAGTCACAAGAGGACTGTAGCTCACATCTGTGCTGGATGTTTAGAATTTAATCAAAGCATTGGAACATCTTAAGGAAGGGGGAAGTATGACTTTTCTACATTTTAAAACTATTTTGACACTTTTCCCAGAAGTCCAAATAATCTTCACATCTTTCATAAATTGCCAAGTTATGTTCAGAAACTGCAGAACAGTGCACATGGGCCTGGGGTGTTTTTAAGACAAGGTCTTATGTAGCCCAGGCTGGTCTCTTAATGTAGCTGAGAATGACCTTGAACTTCTGTCCTCCTGTCTCTACCTCCAGAGTGCTGGGGTTGCAGGGATGTACCACCCTGCCTAGTTTATTCCATGTTGGGGATTGGACCCAGGGCTTTGCGTATGGTAGGCAAGCACTCTATCCACTGAGCTACATCCCAACCCCACAATGGCACTAGTCCAAGGCAAACAACTACACAATGTTGGTATAAAAATTAGTTTGTCAGAGTTTCTTAGACCCTGGCCTGATGTGCCAGAGCCCTCTAATCAAGAGCAAAGGCACTGTGTCCATGAAATCACTCTCACACTGCTCAGGAGCTGTGCTTCGTGTGAGATAACCAGCATCTTTTACCCCCTTTGTCTCACGCTGCACACTCCATGGCATTGGCCTGAGACCCAAATCCCCACACACTTTGGGGTGCTTCATAAAAAGAACACTCCTCAAGGGCACAGAGACAAATGAGATCGGCCCTGGGGCTTTTTGAAAATAATTTTCCTTTTCTTTTATTTTTTTATTTTATGCACATCAGCATGTTGCCTGCATGCATGGCTCCTGCAACTGGAGTTAGAAACAGGTATGAGCTGCCATGTGAATGCCTCTAACCACTGGGCCATTTCTCCAGCCCCTGAAAACAATTGTCATCACTTCACATTTAATAATACTCTTTCTGCCTCGTAATCAGACAGTTTCCTGGTCCTCAACAGTGGGTCCTCAGGTGGCGAGAGATCCCAGCAGGAACGTCTCTAACAGCACGAGTGTGAGATGAATCTCCTGCAGATACTCAGTAGGACAGGCCGTTCAGGGTCATTGAATTAATTGCTCCAGAAGACAGCTGTGGTGCAGAAGTGTTGACCTGAGCTGGCCACACAGCAAAGCCTCTTGAGCTCCTGCAGCAATCCTAAGACTTGGAAACTTAGTAAAAATAAAAGGAACAGCAGTGGTTTCTCAAAACCTGGAGCAAATTCCAGAAAGACTCACCCGTCTGCTTGAGCAGCTGAGCAGACCTCTCTAGATTTGGCCATCCCTCGTTGTCGTATCCGAACCTAAAAGGCCAGATGGCAGCGGAGACCACTTTCGCTGGTGCCTGAGGAATTATTGAAGTGATAACTTTGCGTAACTATGGACAATGGAGGTCTGGGGGTCCCAGGGTTCTCTACCTTTCCCTTATCAAAGTTCACCTTTCAGCAAAGGAAATCCCATAGACATTTTCCCACACTTAATTCATAAAAATGTTTACCCTATGGTTCTTTGAAAGCAAATCTGTGAACTTCTAGCTTAAACTTGGCAGTTCAGACAAATGTTTGAAAGGTGTTTCTAATAAGCATTGCTTATGATAGCAAAGAAGAAGGAGGAAAGGGAGAGAGAAGGAAGGAAGGAGGGAAGGAGAAGAGTAAATGTATTGTTACATAAAATAGAATACTACCTATTCCCAATAAATTAATCCCACCATAGGAAAAATCATAAACAGATGAAGTTATGTGCATATAATAGAATCCTATACAGCCTTAACAGATGAAATTGGGCTATACATTTCCGTGTGAATGAATCTCAAAAAGATGATTTTATGGTTAAAAATGTCAAAGTAAGTTGCAAGCAATTTATCTGGAATTAAAACCACAGGCAACAGCATTGTCTAGAGTTCCATCATATATAGCAACAATGTGAAGAAGTGCATGAAAATTGGCTTTTAAAAACACCTTGGGATGGAGAGATGGCTCCACAGTTCAAAATGCGTACCGTTCTTGCGGAGGACCTGAGTTCACCTAGCACCCATGACCTTTGGCTCACCACTGCCTGGGGATTCAACACCTCTGGCATGAAAAATCACGTGAGCTCACGTGCACATGTTCACATGTAGGCACGCACACATCACATAGTTAAAAATAAGATAAATCTTTAAACAGTCAAAAACACCTTACTCAATGTTATGGCCTAAATGTTAAGTGCCCCCACAAGGCTTATATGCTCAAACATGTGAACCCCAGACAGTGGTGCTGCTTTGGGAAGCTGTGGAACATTTTGGACATGTAGCCTCCCTGGCAGGTGAAGGACTGTAAGGGCAGGGCTTATGGGTTTATGTCCCCTGGTGTGCCCAGGTATAGCAGGTCATCTGGCAAGCTCCTGCCACCACATAAAGATCCCAGCCGCTATGCGTCATGTGCCCTGGAACTGTGAGCTGAAACAAATCCTTCTCCCAGGTTGTTCTATCAGGCATTGGCCTAGTAATGAGAAGTATAATTAACATCCTCAGGATAAGAGCCTGCAACCCCAGCACCTCAGAGGCAGACTTGAGTGTCTCTGTGAGTTCCAGGATAGACAAGTTACACAGAGAGACCCCATCTCAAATGTGTGTGTGTGCATGTGTACATGTTTGTATGCATGTGTGTGGTGATTTGTATATGTGCAAGTTTGTATGTGTGAGCATGTTTGTATGAATGTGTGTGCATGCATGTTGTAATCATTTGTATATGTGTGTGCATGTATATATGTAGGGGGAAACTTAGGACTCCACTATTAGCCATGTGGCACTCTAAAGATGCATATGGATGTGGTAACGAAAGGGCAGAACCTCGCGCCACTAACCACACCCACTTTAGGCACGACTAGAGACAGAGCGGTGGAACTACGCCACTAGCCAGGCCCACTTTTGGGCGTGGCTAGGGGCGTGCACAGAGGAAGGAATAAAAGACTGAACAGCAGAGCCCTCGCTCTCTTTCCGCTTCCAGTTCGGTGGCGGAAAACTACTCGACTCATTCGGGTTGCTCGTTTTTCTCTTGTGAGTAATTTCTACAATAAACAGGTACCTATACCCTCAATAAGTGTGCCGTTTATTATTGCAGCATCATATATGCATATATGCATGTGTCCAAGTGTGGTGTGTGTTTGTGTGTGTGTGTGTGTGTGTTCTAAAGTTCTTTCCACTTCTCTGCAACACTCCACTCAAAACATCTCTTTCTTGGAACATTGAAAAAGGCTTCTACAGTCTTTTATTTTTCTACAGAAGTCATGTTCACATCTATTATTTCTTGGTCCTTCACAGATGTCTCAGTGTAGTTGGTGAAACCATTTGTGATGAGGCTGTCCCCAGCCTCTCCAACTGCGTCATCCTCCACTCCACGACACCTTAGCCCTGAAGGTCTCTCTGATGCATCTCAAACACTCTAAGCTGGCTCTCCCTCCATCCTTTATGCACAGCTCCTTCAGCGGAATCACATCTAGCTGGCTTTTTATCAGCCTTAAAGTCTCATCTCAAATGTCAGAGAAGCTCCTCTAGCCACCCAGACTCCAGCTTTCCATTTCACACAATCTTGTTTCCTAGAAAGTCACCTGGCCTACAGCCAGAGTCTTTCTTCATTTGTTTCCATGAATACCATCTTTATTTAGAATGCAAAGTGTAGGAGAGCAGAGATCTTGTCCAGCTTCTCCCATGGACCTCTGGCACCAAGCATAGCAAGAGGCAATCAAGGAACACTAGCCAAATGAGTAAGTGAATGAATGAGCAAGCAATAAATCAAACTCAAACAATTCCCTTAAAAAGAATTTGTGGCTGACATCAAGCATCCTCTTCATGTGTAGAGTATATTATAACAATAATAACTAATATGGAAAAAGCATCCAAAGATACCTGTATTGGTGGTATATAACTATCTACTTAACAAGAAATCGTTACTAAGTGAGGTCTGGGTTTGGTCTCTAGCACTGCTTGGAGTTTGGGAAGAAAGAGGAGAGAGGGGAGGAGAAGGAGGGAGGAGAAGAGAGAGAGGGGAGGGGAGGGTAAGGGAGGAGAGGAGAAAATGGGGAGGGGAGAGGAGAAGGAGGAAAGAGGAGAGGAGAGGAAAGGGGAGGGGAGGAGAGGAGAAGAGAGGAGAGGAGAGGGGGAGGAGAAGAAGGGGAAGAGGAGGGGAGGAGAAAGGAAAAGGAGGGGAGAGAAGAGGAGAACCAGAGAAACATTGACCACAGTCTGCTTCCTCAGTACAGCATTTTATTTAATGTGAAAATGTACTTCCTGGTAGTAAAGATTACTAAAATTCAGCAAAACCTCGCAAATTCTATTTCCTCTCACACTGTAACTCTGGCTGCACTAGGAAATACAATTGTCTTTTTTACCAGAACAGATGGAAAACATAGCATTACACTCACTTCTGTCTCCTTCTAGAAGAGCAGAGAACATCTAAACATTTAAAATTACAAAAAGTAAAGGACAATAAAACATCCATAGAATGCCAATATACAAGAGAACCATAATTTACAAAATCAAGATTTTGCTGACTTCCTTGAATCAAAAACTCTCACATTCATATCTACAGCAACATCCATCAGTTATGAAATGCTCTCTTCTTTTATAATTTAATATTGAATCATGAATGGAAAAATAACTCCTCATATCAAAATCATGTGCAAGTTGCCATTATTACCTGAGTCTACACTGACTCAGAATCCAACTTCCCAAATCATTCCATTATATGATGAGTCTAAAAGGAAAAGGGATGGGATCCAGGGTCTTAAAGTCATCACACCCAGGCCTAGCATTTAGTCAAAATAGTAATAAACAGATAGCAAAAGAAACAAGCAGTGGAGTGAAGGTGCAGCCTGTACAATGGGAAAGAATCTTTGTCAGTTATACATCCTGACAGAAGATTAGTATCTATAATACATAAAGAACTCAAAACCATTTAAACAACCAAACCCAATCGCCTCAGCAATAAACAGGTTAATGAATCAAACAAATCATTCTCTTCAAAGGAATAAATGGCTAATAAACAGAAGAAAAAACATTGAACATCTTTAGCCATCAGGAAAATACAAAGTAAAGCTGCATTGTAGGGATGACTGTCCAGAAAAACCATGACAGCAAATGTGGAGAATGGCAAAGCCTTTAGGTATTTCTCATCAGAATATAAAGTAGCACACCCACTGTGAAAGTCAGTAGAGAGGTTCCTCCAAACACTAAGACCATGGGCCTCAGTGGGTAAGAACACAGCACCCATATGTAGGCTCACAACCATCTATAACTCCAGTTCCAGGGGATCCAAAGTCCTCTTTCAACCGCTGTGGGCACCAAGCACACACATGGTGCACATACATACATACAGGCTAATTATATACCAAAATAAAAGTAAATGCATCTACAACAACAGCTGAACCACAAGCACCATATAATCAGGCTATGCCACTCCTGGACATCTACCTAAAGGAATCTAAGTTAACACACCACAGAGATATTTTATGCAGTATTCACAATATCCGATACTTGAAATCAACCAAGATGCCATCAATAGATTAATGAGTAAAGAAAATACAATACAAATACACAGTGGAGTTTTACTGAGCCATAAACAAGAACGAAATGGTGTCATTTTCATGGAAATGGATGCAAGTAGAGATCACCATGTTAAGGCAGTCTCAGAAAAGTAAATGTCGCATGCTTTTCCTCACATTTATAATCTAGATATATCATATAACAGCAGGGTGGGTCTATGTGGGAGAAGAAGTTATCTAAAAGAAAAGACAGGAAGACAAAAATGAATAATGGGCGTAAATATGTACAATGTAAGTATGTATGTAAATTTCACTTTATATGCTAAGGAAAAAAATTTTCAAATAGAAAAAGGAAGCCAGGTTCCAAAACACCATCAAATGAAGGTTTCAAAACAGAATAGTGTTGTGTGATAGTGTGTGTGTGTGTGTATACACACATAAAGTAAAATTTTTTCCAAAAATGTTCATTACTTACCCCTTGGCCTAGTTTCCTCTCATAGGTTTTGTGCCGTAGTCCTAATCCTAACAACCCCATGCCAACAAGCAGACACAAAACTAAACAAAGAGAAGGAAGAATCATTAAAAAGAAATTAAAACCTTTAAATAACTTTTCCAAAATTGTATCTATTAACCAAGTAGTCTGTGTGGGACATGTATACATTACCCATCCTTTAAAACCAGGCTTTTGAAGAATACTCCCTAAGAACATTCCAAGAGCAATGAACATGAAGTAAGAATAAACTACAAAATATACAAGAAAAGATATTTTTGCAGGCACAGAACAGCAAGAAAAGCTGTTCTGAAGAACCAGGCACACAAAGACCTCAGATGTTGGAAATGTAAGACCCAGGATACAAAGTGAGTATGCCTAGTGTGCTTAAAAAGAAAATGGCATCAAAAGTATGCCTGGGGAATGCAAGGCTAAAAACAAAATAATCAGGGAAGTTTGTAAAGAAACAAGGTAGAGGTTTGGAAACAAAAACATAGGAGTAGACCAATGAATCAGCAGCTAAGAGCACTGGACCCAGGCTTGATTCGCAGCGCATGGCAGCTAACAGCTGTCTGTTACTCCAGCTCCAGGAGAGCTGACAGCCTCTTCTGGCCTCCGCGGGCGCCGGGCATGCATGCATATGGTACACAGACATACATGCTGGCAAGCATTCATACCCACCAAATAAAATACAGAAATAAAAATATCCAATTCAATGAGCAAAATTCAATAGGCAAGAGACAGTCTAGATTAGACAAAGCCTAAAGGAGAATTAATGCAAAAGGCAACACAGGTAGGGGGCCAGCAAGATGGCTCAACAGGTAAAGGCATATGCTACCAAGACCGAGGATCAAGAATCTTCAGAGTGGAAAAGCCAAAGACTCCCAAGCAGGTGAGGATGAACCTCACCTCCAGGAGCATCACAGTGAAGCTGTGACTGCCAAACACACCGAGAAGGATTTCAATTCCCAGGTTTTATATAATGGTGTGATTTGTGACATAGCATTCAGAAATAGTCTGAAGAAATATTTGAATATACATAGTTTCAATTGTTATCTCTCTCTTTTTCCAATAATATTTTTATTTCCTTCGTAAAGTTTCAAATTTTAAGGGTATAAACCAGTGTTGACATGTCTTTGTACCCTACGTAACAGCACATGGTATACATTCACTAAACATTTATATGTGACTCAGCTCATTTAAAATGAATCAGATATTAAATGACGAGCTTATTTCATGAGTGAGTCTATAGTTTATCAATATGCTAATGTTAACATGTTTAATCTTCCAAAGCAAGAAAATAAAAGATGGCATACATGGTCTCAACTGCCAGAAGAAAGCATCTTGAAAATCTACCTCATAAATTTTCTATGTTAAAAGTAAAATAAGGGGTCCAGCGTTGGTGGCGCACGCCTTTAATCCCAGCACTTGGGAGGCAGAGGCAGGCGGATCTCTGTGAGTTCGAGACCAGCCTGGTCTACAAGAGCTAGTTCCAGGACAGCCTCCAAAGCCACAGAGAAACCCTGTCTCGAAAAACCAAAAAAAAAAAAAAAGTGAAATAAGGGGCTGGAGAGATGGCTCAGCGGTTAAGAGCACTAGCTACTCTCCTAGAAGTTCAGGTTCTGAGTTCAGTTCCCAGCAACTACATAGTGGCTCACAACCATCTGTAATGAGATCTGGTGCCCTCTTCCGGCACACAGGCAGAATACTGTATATATAAAAAATAATAATAAATAAATCTTTTTTTAAAAAGTGAAGTAAAATTATATAGGATATGAAATGCCACAATGTCAGGAATTTGTTTAAATTGTTTCTGTAATTGTGATTTTTCTTTGGGCCACTAGCCAGCTCCCAAATAATGACATGGAGAGTTCTTATTAATTATGAATACATGGCCTTAGCTTAGGCTTGTCCTACTAACTTTTAATTTAATGTGTTTCTATTCCTCTACATTTTGCCTCAGGGCTTTTTACTTTTTATTACTGTATGTCCTACTTCCCAGCTTCCTCTACGTCTGGCTGGCTGCCCCTTGTCAGCTCCTCTTCTTTTGTTCCCAGCCTAAATTCCTCCCCCTACTACTCTCCCTGCCTGCAAGTTCCGCCCACCCGTCTATACCTCCTCCCTCAGTATTGACTGATCACCATCTTATTAGACCAATCAGGTGCCTTAGGCAGGCAAGGTAAAACAAAAACACATCTTTACATAGTTAAACAAATGCAACATGCCTTTGCATAGTTAAACAAATATTCCACAACATGTTTCAACAAACCAAAAGAGGCAGGAAGAAAACAAGGACAAATGGTAGCAAAATACAAAGGGTTGTCGCAGCCAAGTGAAAGGTACAACAGGCTTCATGGTACTCTTAAATTTCATGATGGAAAATGTATACAGCATGAGCCCAGTATGGTGGCATACACCTTTAATCCCAGTACTGCGGAGGCAGAGATAAAAGGATCTCTAGAGTTCAGGAAGATCTCTGTGAATTCATGGCCAGCATAGTCTACATAGTGAGCTTCAGGACAGCCAGAACTATATATATATATATATATATAAAGACCCTGTCTCAAGATGGGCAGTAATGGTGCACGCCTTTAAACCCAGCACTTGGGAGACAGAGGCAGGTGGATCTCTGTGAGTACAAAGCAAGTTACAGGACAGCCAGGGCTACACAAAGAAAACAAACAAATAAACAAAAGATCCTGTGTCACAAGAAGAAAAGAAAAATAGAGGATAAAAGGGTAAATAAATAAAATTTATACACCAAACTTTTTAAATGCAAGTAAAACTATACTTACTAAGTTTCATGTATTTTTCACTCCTTCTCAAAAGCGCTTTAGGACTATTCTTTGTTTGAAGAAGAAAGTCAAGGTTTTTCTTAGGTCCAAACAGCATACTCAATCCAATAATTACCATTACGATCCCTGTTCAAAGGGGGGGGGGGAGAAAGGAGGGATGAGACGTAACTCAGTGGCAAAGTGCTTACCTAGCATTCATGAGTCTCTAGGTTCAATACCCTGTATCATAAGTAATAGTTCTTTTTAAAAAACACTGGTGATGTTGAGGCTAGAAAGATGATTCAGTGGCTAAGAGCACTTACTACTTTTGCAGAAAATAATATGATACTCAGTCAGAAGCTGAGAACTACAACAACAACCTGCCTGCAAACTATGTCACTGATTCAATAGTGGCATGGATGTCGTGGAAGTAACCAACTACTTTGAAAAAACCTGATTTAGGCCCACTCAATGAAATGAAACCCATATGTGACACTTTCACTGAGACTAAGAACCTGAAACTAGACAGGTCATGGGTCCTAGGGGAAAACCTGCTACTATTATTCTGCTAAATGGTCATAGGAATAAAATGACTCCCAGTGGCGTACTGATACATCCATAGATCAGTAGCTCCTTCAACACTCATAGAAGATTCTTCCTGCAGAAGATGTTAATTAACATCCACAACTGGACCACTGAGAATGAGAGACTTCCCAGTGCTCAGCCCTAGAAGGGAAGTCTTTCCCACAACTCTCCCCTCAAGACTCAGAACTATGCAGAAGAGGGAGCAGAAATATTGTAAGAGAACCACTCCGAGGAAACATTATTTTTAGACTCAGAGGACTGAGGAACATATGAACTCACAGTGACTGTGACAGCATGCCCAAGACCTGGGGCAGATTCAAACCAGACAAAACTCCCAGCATAGAGGCAGGGCAGTGGACACAAAGTCCTGCCACTAACCAAGAAGCTACTTGCAATTACTATCTGTTGGGAGAGGGAAAATCAATTTTCCTCAATGGAGAGACATGGGTGTATCAAACACACTCCAGGGCAGGTCCCACGCTTAGTAGTGGTTGGCTAACACAAATCAGTCTCTATGCTTTTTTGTGCCCTTTTCTATTTTGTTTGTTTTATTAGAGAAAGAATGCGAGGCTGGGTAGATAGGGAGGTAGGGAAAGATCTTGGAGGAGTTGGGGAAGGGAAAAGAACATAATCAAAATGTATTGTATGAAATTCTCAGAGATGGAATAAAAACGTTTTGTAGGAAGCTACTCCACATTGCCAACTTCCCTTGCCTTGTTACTATGCCCCTCTTCCTAAAGAAGGTTCTCATTTGTATGAAACTGAAATAAAGCACAGTTCCTGTGAGTAAAGACAATGACCTTGCAAAGCCCATCATTCATAGTACTCCAAAGAAACAAAGTTAGGGACAGCACAGCTCTTACTTTCTCTCCCGTCCTCCACCTGGCAACACCGAGTAAACAGGGGTGAGAGAAAAGCAGGACACCGGAGAGAGCAGAGCCCCAGAGAGTAGACCCACCTGAAAGAAACCACAAGAATTAGGAAGTTGGCAAAGCCAGGCACCTGCAGAGAAAATGTGAGAAACTGGGCACAAAGTCCCACCCCCTGGCCGAGAAGCTGTTTGTAATTGATCTCTGCTGGGAGAGGGGAAAGTCTGTTTTCCTCAATAGAGTGGCACTGGTATACCAACCACATACCAGTGTAGACCCCGTGCCTAGAGTAGCTGGCCAACACAAATCAAGTTTGTGGGTTATTTGTTCCTCAGCTTGTTTGTTTGTGTTAATAAAGAGAAAGAACGTGAAATTGGGTGGGTAGGGAGGTGCGAAAGGATCTGGGAGGAGTTGGGGTCATGGCTCTATGTTCCTCTAAGGAGACAAAGCTCAAGCCCAGATGGGAAATTGGGAATTCTCCAAGGCTGTTTCTCAAGGATCCTGTTTCACTTCACAGTGAGTCTTCCAGAGCAGCTGTCCTGACAGAGGTGTAGCTCGTGGGCTAGGAAGGTGGGTGTGAGCTGGGAGAACCATGGTGGCAGGTTCATGGACACCACGCCTCTCCCATCCAGCCGGCGCTCACCCTCTGGAGAAGTGCTAAGGATTTGTTTTACCCATGTATGGTCCCTCCCCTCATTCCAGGGGGAGTTCCTGGTGAAGAGCCAGGAGCATAGTGCATGCACAATAACTTTATGAGCATAAACGAACAAGCATAAAACTGAAAACATGACCAAGTCAGAACAGCTGAATCCCTCCAGCGCCTCCCTGTTTTCTTAGGCTTTGCTGTGAAAGGACTCGACACACTTTACGTTAATTCTAGAATGGTAGTAGGTTCTAATGACTCACACCTATAATATCAGTGATTTAGAGGCTAAGGCAGAAGGATTCCCCTGAGCTTAAGGTAGCATGAAATAGAATGAATTCCAGGCCAGCCTAAGCTACAAAGTGAGAATGTCACAAAAAAAAAGAGAAAGAAAAAGAAAGATTGACAATGTTGGTTTTCTTTATACCGGGTATAGATCAGTAACTTCCTTTTTTCCTGGAAAAATAACTTTTAAAATATTAAAATAAACTTTGACCATTTAATTTGGGTGAGTTTATGACACTAAAATTTGCACATAGGCTTTCTTATGGTTTAGACATTTTTTTCTCAGCTAACTCATTTTATTTGCTTGTTAACTTGAGACATAGTCTTACTACATAACCCTAGCCAAGCTGGAACTCAGTATATAGACTAGGTTGACCTAGAACTCACAGAGATCCACCTGTCTCTGCTTCCAAAACACTGATATTGAAGGTGTGTATACCACCATGCTTGGCAAACTAATTTATTTTAAAGGTTAGTGGAGTAATAAATATTGTAGACATGCACTTCATTTGAGCAACAAATGATGTCATTTATTTTTTCATTACGATTTAGCCATCCTTCTGGGCTTTCTTAACCTAAAATCTAGCTTACTAAGAACATGGGCTATCCTATTTATTTCTAGAAGTCATATAAGATGCTAAATCCTGACTAGTCTTCAGGAACTTGGATCAGTTTCTTTAACTGGATCTGTTAACTTGTACTCACCCAAAAGCACATCAGATCTTTCTCTAGCATAGACACCTCCGGGAACAAACTTAAAAGCTGTGCACCAGGCACAGAAAAACATTTCTAAAAGATAAACAACCATGCCAGTGGTCATGGTCTCCCCAGGGTTTGTCCCTGAGTTCACAAGGTGTCCAAGTACTTGAGGCCACACGGATCCCGTGAAGACTGCCAGCACACATCCAGAAATGGCTGCAGCCCATGTGCCCAGGTAAAGGAGACCCAGGGCCGAAGCTGCCCCTGTTTGTGAGAAAAGAAAAAGAAAGAGACGTTGAGTCAGGCAAGAGAACAGCAAAGCTCCTGGCATAACCAGTTCACCGTGGGGGAGAGCTGGAAAGAATCAGGAGCCCACTGGTTGAATCTCAACTCCCAAGCAAACCGAAGTGCAACAGCTGAATGTAGCATGCTCACAGCCACAGCCACAGCCCAGCACTGGCACTCCCAGAAGTCGACAGTGCAGCAAATCTCAGGCCAATGCTTGTTCTTTGGGGAGGGGGGAAGGGTGGGCATTGAAGTCGCTAGCCTTACAATCTTCGTGGTAATAGGAAATGAATTTATTTGCAAAATTAGAAATGCGTTCATTAAATACAACCATGCAGTCACAGGACAGGAGAAAGCACAGGGTCCATGTGGTTTCTAGAACATTTCTCTAAGGCCCTTTCTAAGTGATTATTACCACTTTAAGTGCTATCCAGAAGTGTATGCACTGGCTTCTCCAAGCACACAGACCCAAGAGAGGGCAAAACTAAGATTCCAGAGACATATTGGCTGCTGGAGCAAGTCCACACTCTGTCCACTGGTTTTCCACAGTCTGCCAGGTCAGGGCTGTGCATTCTACATGGTCTGTGGTAGGCAGTTCCTTAACCAGTGTTGAGCCAACACTAAGTCATATAACTTTCCTTCCAATTCCTGTGATATCAGCCTTGATCCATCCATATTAACTTTCCATAGACAATATGTATTTTAGTTAGCATCCTTTGAGAGATCTATAGCAGACGCTTTACTGTCTGGGGCAATGGCAATGTATCTGCAGGTCAGTCCCACGTACCTGTCACCCACCAGGCTAACCCAGCATCATGAAGCCATGATGAACCTGACAGCATCAACCCACTTGCCAAGCTCAGCAGAACCACACCTCTGTAAATAAATAAAAATAGAAGGCAAAATCAATCAATCATTCCAACATCGATCAGAAATCCATCTGCTTCCTCTAGCCATATCCATTCATATCACGCTGTGGCTATGGCACAATCGAGATAATGAGAGCCACTGGGAACCGGCGCACAGGACACTCAAGGAAGCCAATGGTGCGGCTCAGTGAGAGGGACTAGCACACAGGAGACCCTGGAGTCACTCACTATCCAGAGCCAAAAGTAAAATGGAATGTTGAAGCAGAAAACCGTCTAACACCTGCAGTCTTTCACGGTCAGCGCAGACGCGACAACTGAATTCTCGACTCTTAAGTCACAGCTCATGGCAGCCACCTGCCATTTCATATGACTCTGCTGAAGACCAAAGGAAAAGTCACTGACGAGGTTTGTCGTGGAGGTCTCCTTTTTTCTTTCTGTATTCTAGCTCAATAATGCTTTTATCTAGTGTCTTTTTTGTTCAATAAGTGACAGTCTGACTAAATGACAGTTCGACAGCTTTGTTTATTCTTAACCATCAAAAGCTATGTCATTGTTTTGTTATTTTTATAAAGACTCAACAGGAGAGAATTTAAGTGGGTTGGAAAGATGTCTCCCCAGTTAAGAGCACTTGTCATTCCTGCAGAGGACCTGGGTTCGGTTCCCAGGACCCACATGACACCCTCTACTGGCCTCTACCAGCATCAGGCACACACGTGCTGCACAGATGGATGTGTAGGTAAAACACTCATACGTTTTCAAAAAATAATAATAATAACTGAATCAGACATTGGTGGCACATGCCTTTAATCCCAGCCCTGGGGAGGCAGAGACAGGCAGATCTCTGTGAGTTGGAGACCAAGCCTGGTCTACAGAGCAAGTTCCAGGAGAGGCTCCAAAACAATACAGAGAAACCCTGTCTCGAAAAACCAAAAATAAATAAAATAATAATAATAATAACTGAAGTAAATGCCAGTGGGGAAATCCATTAGCAATGGGAGCAACAATATCGCATTGCTTACCCAGCTGAAATCTAACTTCAAACCCAGCACTTGCTAAACACCAAGCACTGTTTTAGGACGGTCACCTGTGTTGTCGTTCACTTAATCCTCTTGAGTTTATGAGGGAAAGGGTACCATTCTGTCCATCTATAGAGGAGAGCATAGGAAGAGTCTTGGCTCTCCCAGTGACACCGTGATCCATCCCAACAAACACCCAAACCCAGCATCAGAGGGACTGAGAATGACCAGCAGATGTCATGCCTTCCCTTCCACAGGCAAGGGATTCCCCACGCTCCCCATGCAGGAATGTGGGACCCACTTCTATACAGCCCCTAGTTCCTCTAGTTCCCACAATCCTATAGTCCAGAGCAGACACCCCTCTGGCTCCTCCCCTCAGCTCACCCAGCTGAACTCACCCAAATGGGTTAGGATCCGGCCCTGAATGAGGATAGCCACTCACTGCCCATCTGGAAACAATAGAGACTTCTCCAAAGATCCAGTGCGTGAGGAACATGAGGCTCCCAAAGGCGGCACCTGGTAACAGCCAGCCAGATCGAGAGGCCACGCCCTTGGTGACCTCGCTGGACTTCTTCCCCTCAGAGACACTGAAGTCGCCATCTACAATTTAAAAAGAAAAGAAAAGAGGGAAAGAGGGGCAAAGGGCACGCGGCCTCTTTTCCTCTGAGACTCAGTAGTTGGTAAAACCGCAGAAGGGTTCTAACTTCATGTGAAGGTAACATAGTGAGAGAAATGTGGGCGTGGGGGGGGTTATCTCGAGAGAACAAGTGTTAGCAACTTGAATGCAACATTCCAGCACCAAAGACTGCTTTCTCTTGAGAGAACAGGGTCTCGTCGAACACTCTAAGTACCCGAATCATGACTGTGGGTCGATGAGCCTCGGCTGTGTGAGCCGCCATCTACAAGACTCGCTTCGTCTTTCCCGACTCTGAGGTCTGCAGTGTCACTAATTGGTCCACGCTCACCCAGCCAATAAAGAAACTGGCACTGACACTAAGTGTCGCGCTTGCCTACTCAGGAGTGCTGATTAGGAGTCACAACTTCACACACTGAATTGGGGCCATACGAGAAAATATTGGCAGGAGAGTCTTTGGATCCACGCAAAGAGACAACTAGAGAGATGCTTTGCAACTCCATGAAGGCTTCTACGGGACAGAAGGCAGCCCTGGGGTCTGCCTCTGTGACTAGTGGCCTGATTTTACTGAGAAGAGGAAAGTTATTATGACAAGAGCAAGGTCAGAGGAAGGAGTGGGCCGACAGCTAAGGGGAGGGAAAAGGGTGGGAGAGGATGGTGAGGACAGAGAGAGGTCAAGGATCAAGCTGAGAGTCCAGAGAAAGGGGATCATCTAAGCTCTATTTATTGAATAAACGGCAGTCAGCTGGGGTGTCTCCAGCCCCTAAGACCCAGCACATCTTCAAATGGAAAGGCAAGGAACACCTGCTGTGTTCAGATACTGGAAGGGTCCGAGGTTTGGAAATGATGACACAGAGCAGATGGACGCTGAGAAAGGCATCCCATCCCACCCCAAGCAGAGAAGCAGAGACAAAGACGGGCGTGAACTGAGTTGAGTACAAGATCTGCTTGAGTCCTCCATGGACACATGGGTGCATCCCGCCCACGGTTCCCTCCACGCTTTCTGTCAGCCATGTCTGCATTGCCAAGGAACCCAGGTCATCTGCCTACATAACAGCCCATTGCTGTGTCCATCACTGCTCAACAAGAGGAAAGCTGAAATGGAGCTACAGTGCAGAAAGCTATTTTTACAAGTTGTCTTGGGGCTAAGGGTTTACTCTACTCATTTGGTAGAGTGCTTGCCTAGCATGAAGGAGGCTCTGGATTTGATTCCCAGCACCTCCAGAAAGTTCATTTTTTCAGATGTGCTATTGCATAGGGGAGAGAAACGCAGATGCCCCCCCCCCCGAGAGAAGATCCCCAGACAAACATTCCGCACCCTCACCTGTGCCAATGCGGTCAAACACAGCTATGGCACTCAACGTCAGTATCACTCGGTTGGACATCTGGTAACTCCAAATCGGGTTTAATGATGTGTACCATATGCGGAGGACAACAAGAAGCATGTGACCCAAAATGAATCCCCAGATTTTGAGGTACCTGGAAGTGAGAGTCATTTATTGAAGACTTTAAGTGTGGATTCAATGTACTACATCCACTGTGGATTTCTTCCACATAGTGTGGATCTCTAACTGTGTTGCTGGTAGTCTTCAGTGAGCAATGTCCCTGATTTAGCCTTTGTAGCATCCGGTACCTACCATGCAACTTGCAGTCACTTTTCAAGCAAAACATTTTATTAATTATTTGGGAATTCCATACAATACACCCAGTAACACTTGCTTTCCATTCCTCCCAGGTCCACCCTCCCACCCGTGCGCCCCCTCCAAAAGAAAACCACCAAGACCAATTTCTGTTGCCCATGGGATCAGTGAGATGCCTTAGCAAGTTAAGGCACTTGCTGCCAAACCTGGCCACCTGAGTTTGATTCCCTGGGACCCACGTGGTGAAAGGAGAGAGCCAACTACAGAAAGCTGTCCTTTGGACTACAAACACAAACACACACACTAAAAACTTAGAAAATAAATAAATCTAATTTTTTCAAATGTTTAAACTTTATTGGGACTGAAGTACAGCAAAATAACAGGGGGACTATAAAATAAACACAATGGCTGGCTTCAGTTCCTAGTACCAAGAAAGCAAAATAAGATTGATGGCAAGTATTTCCACCTTGACTTTCTGAAGAGGAAAGGGGACTTGTACAAGGCCCCATGAAAGGGAAAACTGCTCTGAAACCAGTGACCAGACTTCCCTCTCGGAACTGGCCGTACCTGTTTGTCTATAGGCACGTGAGCCGTGAGTCATACCTTTGCCGTCCACTTCCTGACCACCAGGTCACAGTTTGCACTATCAGTGAAGAGGACACGCCAAGTGCAAGGATCACCAGTCGAAGCTTGGCGTTCGGAGCCTCAAAGGAGGCTATGCTGCCTACAAACAAAGAAGGGAGAAATGAACGAGCACGCATGCCCTCGCACCTGACAGCCTGCGTTTGATAAGCACGGCGTCTGGTCCCGTCTTTACCCTGAAGAAGATAGAATTAACAGACACCCATACACATACTTTATTTGTATTCGTTTAGGTAAGATTTTCACATAAGGTTCTTCATGTTAAGAGTATACAACTTAATAGGTTTTTGGTACATTCACAAAGTTGTCATCTATCCCTTCTAATTCCAGAACACTCTCTCCACCCCCAAAAGAATTCCCCTTCTCATCAGCATCACTGCTCTTCCAGGCCTACACTCCTCGCAATCATTAACCTGTCTCCATGGATTTTTTTTTTCCTATCTGGGGAATTTCACATAAGTAGAATCTTACAGTATATATCCTTTGTGGCTGGCTTCTTTCTCTCTGCATAATGCTTTCAAGGTATATCCATATTGTCGCCTAGATCAGTCCTTCACTCTTTTATGGCTAAATAATATTCCATTGCATAAATAAACTCTATTTTGTTTATCCATTGTCAGGTAATAGGCACTTGGTTGCGTCTATGTCTGAACTTTGGTGAATAACGCTGCTATGAACACAAGTTTCTGTATGAACATGTGCATGCATTTTTCTAGAGTATATGACAAGTTGTAGAGCTCTGCTTAATACCCAAGGCCCTGCCAAACAGTTTCCCAGAGCAGCTATGCCCCTTTACATTGCTTGCACTTCCATCAATAACAAGGGAAAACCCAGCTGCTCCACATTTTTTTGCCAGGACTTGGTATTGTCTTTTTTATTTTAGCTATCCAAATGAGCCAGACTAATCCAGGTCAATGAGTGTAAATTCATTTCATAGTTAATTGCATGATGATTGATTCAAGTACCTGAGGTGCCAGAGGTGACATTGCATGTAACAGACAGGGGGATTTCAAGTGAATTGCAGCCCACTGCCACCTCTATGGTGCGTCCAATGTCCATCGGTCACCAGGAGCAGCACTTGGCCAAGATGCCCTCTTCCTCCTCAACTCTGAGTGACTTCCCTTTCTACCCATTTCTATAGTTCTTCCGCTCAGGGAGCTGGGTTTCATGAAGGAAGATGGTTAGCAGAAGTAACACCAGGAGTGTCATTACTAGGTGTTGTGATTGCCAATATTGGTTGTCAACATCACAGCGTCTACAATAACCTAAGAAAAAAACTCCAAGGCATGTCTGTGAAGAGGGTTTTCTCTTTTGTTTTGGTTTGGATTGGTTTGGCTTGGCTTGGTTTTTCAAGACAGGGTTTCTCTGTGTAGCTTCGGAGCCTGTTCTGGAACTCATTTTGTAGACCAGGCTGGCCTTGAATTCTCAGAGATCCGCATGCCTCTGCCTCCCGAGTGCTGGGATTAAAGGTGTGCTCCACCACCACCCAGCCTGTGAGGGAGTTTCTACGGTGGATTAATTGTGTCGGAACTCACCTTCACATGGCCAGGTGTCTCACTTTCCTTGTCATGGTGGATTGTGTCTCCACACCGGGATCCAAACCAGCATTCTTTACCTTAGGCTGCCTTTTTAGGTATTTCAACACAGCAATAAAGACCCAGATACAAGGACTGTATCCAGACTTACTGTACCACAGTGTCACAGAGAAAATCCTGCCACAGAAGCCAACTTGGAATGTGATGAGAAACCAAGACTTGCAAGGCTAGGGTTGCATGACTCATCTACAGAAACCAAAAGCCAGCTGCAATGCCAATCAAGCAATTTGTGCAGACAGTACCAGGCAGGTAGCTTCATTTCCATCACCCACAGCTGGCCATTTCTGATGGACACCATCCTCGTAAAGTGTCCAGGAGTCGTTCCCCACTATTACTCTGAACCCTAGCTCTAAAAGTACACCTTCATGGGGATCACAGAACTCTCTGCACTGTGCTCCACCTCCTTCAGGGATAGGGAGAGCAAAGGGCGGGTCTGCTTTCCTAGGGACTCCAACCAAACACTGCTCCTGCAAATGTGACATATCAATTTCCAGACAGATCTGCCTGGGGTAGCTCACCAAAAAATGCTATAAGGAAAGCGCCAGGAGGGTAAGAGGTCCAGACTTTCAGCTACAACTCCAAGCAGATTTGAGCTCGTATTTTTCCTTTTTAAATCTATTAATAATACTCCCTCTCTGTAGCTGCATAATAGTCTAAGTTTCATAATCACTGCTTATTTAATCAATCTTTTAGAGATGACATTTGGGTCATTTCTGTACTACCATTGTAAATGTCCCTGCAATGATTCTCATGTTCAACATATCATGTATATGTGGAGGTATCTGTAGGACACAGTCCCGGAAGTGGGGTTGCTGAGGGAAAGGCTCTGTGCTGCTAAGTTGATCTCCCTAAAGTTTGTGCTGATTTACATACCTGCTAGCCATGCTTGGGCACCTGTCTTCTCACTCTTACAATGTAGCATAATATTTTTTTCCTCTGCCAATCCATTCGTGAAGCCATAAATATGTATGCCTCAATCACTGAACTGAACCCAAGGAACCCAGTGACAGAGAGAGAGGAGTGATGAGCAAATTGGCAAAGAATGGGCTGGCAAAACCAGCAGAGACAGCTGATCTGAACAGGGGAGAGCTCTTGGACCCCAGACCGACAGTGGGGAGGCCAGCATGGGACTGATCTGGACCCCCCAAATGTGAGTGTCAGCGAGAAGGCCTGGGCAACCTATGGGGCCCTGAGCTGTGGATCAGTGTCTATCCCTGGAATACAAACAGTCTTCGTGTGCCTATAGCACAAAGAGGGATGCTCTCTCAGCCTGGACTCTTAGGGGAGTGCCTGGACCCTACCCAGAGTAAAATGACAGACTCTAGATATCCCCTATGTGGAAGGATTTGGCAATAGGGTGGGAGGGTGGGGGGGAAGGGGAGTGCGGGAGGAGGGGAAGGAGAGGGAACTGGGATTGACATGTAAAACAAGCTATTTAAAATTAAAATAAAAAATGATAAAAAATATGTATGCCTCATTTATGCTGTGTGAGCTTTGTTATTTAAAAATTCTTGGGGCTGGAGAGATGGCTCAGAGGTTAAGAGCACTGCCTGCTCTTCCAGAGGTCCTGAGTTCAATTCCCAGTAACCACATGGTGGCTCACAACCATCTGCAATTCAGTCTGGTGGCCTCTTCTGATATGTAGGCAGAACATTGTATCCATAATAAATAAATAAATCTTATAAAAAGATGATATATATTTTTAAAAATTCTTATTACGTTTATTGTGTGTGAGAGTGTGTGAGCATATGTCTGCTCGTACGAGGGAATGCCATGTATAGAGGTGAAAGGACAACCTGTGGGCATTGTTTCTCTTTCCATTACATGGGATGCAGGGAAAGAACTCAGTTCACCAGGCTTGACAGCAAATGCCCTTACCTACTGAATCATTCTGAAAGCCCAATTTTATTGTATTTTAAAGAACTAATTGTATCTCCTTTCCAGGGACTGCATATATCTTCTGCTGGTTTTCTAGTTCATGTTTGGTCTTTCATTTTTGGTTTATTGAAACTGTTTGGAAATCAGCCCTTTGAGTAACGACATTTCATATAGTTTTCAACCACTGTTTGGTTGCCTACTGTGATGTTTCAGATGCATAACTCTCATTTCTTATGCGGTACCATTGGGACACTTTCTCATCACTTCTAAGTCTTGTCATAGTTGGCCTGTTTCCCAGTGTGCCTTTCTCTGCCTTATTCCAGTGAATGTTATATTTTTCCAGTCAGGCAGGGATGTTAAGGAGAAAAAAAGGATTTACTCTGTACAGTTTTCATTTCACGACATTTTTTTTCCTGAGGGGATAGTAAGAAACCGGTGATTTTTGAAAGTTAACCATTCCCCACACAGCGAACAGTCTACACCGTTTTGCTTTTGATTAACAGACGAATCTCAGATGCTGAGATCTTACCTACAGTGATGATCCTCAGCAGGGAGAGAGCCCACTTTTTATTCACCAGTTTCCAGAATGGAGGAATCATTAAGAGTACCGGGGAGAGCGAGGCCACGCCAAACAACTCCAGTCCCGTGAGCTCCAGCGTTTGCAGGGGAAAGTAGTAGATCATGGGTCCCAGCCCATGGTAGAGAGACCACGAGACATAGCCTATGAGAGATGTTTAAGAGAGAAGGTGACTTTGCCATTGGCCCTGTCAGCAGCCTGCCCCTCCACTCTGCTCTGGGTCTCAGCTGGCTGTTGGTGGCAGACTCCTTCCCCTACCCAGCAGGTGGGGTGGAGAGTGCCTGTTGTGAATCTGCCATCATCTCTTGTTTGCTCCCATAATCATGTAGACATGCCACCATGCCTATGCCTGCAGACAATCCCTTTGTTAAGATTGTCATAGTTGGATCATCTGATATGAAACTGGTTCCTGTCAGGACTCTGATGATAAAATTTTCTTAACCCAATTTAGCCCATACATATGCAATGAGAAATATAAAACTAAAGAAGCAATATTCCTTCCACCTACCCCAAACTACACCCCTATAGCCTCGTCTGCAGGCAACAGATTTTTCTTGTGAGCAGATCATTCTAGACCAGCCCTTACTGGGCAGGGCTGGGGAGGTAAAAGACTGAATCACAGGTACCTCTGTGGGCACAGGCTGTGTGATCTTAAGCAATAGCGATAATTAAGGCAGTGGCACTTGCCATATACCAAGCTGAGCTGCTTTTTGCGGGTTTTGTTTTCGTTTGTTGACTGGTTGGTTTTGAGACAGGGTTTCTCTGTATAACAGTCCTAGCTGTCCTGGAACTCGCTTTTTAGACCAGGCTGACCTCAAACCCACACAGCCTGCCTCTGCTGGAATGAAAGGCGTGTGCCACCACGTCTGGCTTGAGCTGTATCTTGTTCCTCATACAACCCGTATCCTATGGGCGGTTGTATACACCTTATACTCTCTCACACCAGAGCCGAAACAATCGGGTCAAAACACAGCAACATAAACTCCTGAGAACCAGAAAGTTCAGTGATTCTCTGGCTTTAGATCCCCAGCAGCTTGCCTCTGAGAACTGTTAGCCAGCACACATAACTTACAATCTGCAGGAATCACACCACCTAAGGTTCTCAGAATGAGATCAAGCCTCCCGGAGGAACTCAGCGTGAGTCATTTCACACCTCCCACTTTACAAGGCACAGAGGGAGGCAGAAAAACGAGAGTTTCAGTCTCCTGAGAACAAGCTGCTCCCAGAAACTCTAGCTCTCAGAAGAGCGCCCTCCACCGGCCAGAAGGATGCATGCTTCAAAAACGAACTGCAAGACCTAACCATGTTCCAAAAGTTTCCCTGAGAACCCATGAGTTAAGAATCCACAGAGCCAGAACACTAAATCTTCAGTACTTCGTGCAAAACTGCTACATGAGCCCAGGAGACTAGAAACACACGCTTTGTTTTTTCTTTTACAAACACACTGGTGTACTCGCAACTGCCAAGACCACTTGAGCAGGGAGCCAAGGCCAAAGACTGCATTTACCCCGGATGCTCACCTACAGCCCCTGGGGAACACAGGTGCCCTTTCCTTGGGAAAGCTAAGCCCAGTACTAAACTATATTGAGGTAAACGTAAAGATCACGGTCCGGGGCTGCACGGAGAACTCTCCATGCCACGCCAGGGCGGTGTGGGAGCTGCGGAACCCGGGCCTGGGTACCTCCATCTGAATCTGGTCTCCCTTCCTTTCCACCCAGGGCGTGATATGCATCTCCATTGTCGGCGCCGGGCCGGCCGGGAACAAGCCCAGTAAGCGTGCACCAGGACGGCCTCGACTTACCCAGAAGAGTCTCCAGGGCGATTGCTTTCCACAGGCCTGGCATAGCTGCCGCTACCTGGAAAACCCCACCGACCGTCCCTCCAGCGCTCCCTGCGGGGTCCGCCCGGTCTGCCTGCTCGGTGTCTCCGAGTGGCTCGCGGGTCTGAGGCGGCTGCAGGAGCCCAGGCAGGGTGCGGCACCTCCTCCCTGGCACACCTGTGCGCCGCCGCGCAGACGCCACCTGTGCTTTCAGCGCTGCTGGGGACACGCCACCCCAGTGCAACCTGTGCGCTCCAAACCCACCATCCATTCCGAACCAAATCTGCTGGTCCGCATCCCACCCCCATCCCACCAGAGAATGCCTGGGTGATGGAGCAGTTTCCGGGCCCGGAGGAAGGCAACAACCTAGATCGGTGACGCCATCGTTTCCTACAAGCCCGCCTGGTCTGGGGGCGCAGAGCAGTTGGTAGAGCAATTGCTTCGCATGCACCACACTTTGGACTCATCCTCTGTGCTCTACAGACAGGGAGTGGTGGTGTAGCCTTGAAACCCGAGCATTTAGGAGATGGAGTCCAAAGAATCACGAGTTCAAGGTCATCCTCCACTTTGTTGATACGCAGGTTAGATTCCCAGATGCTGCAGCTTGAGTCCGAGAAGAGAGTGGGAAACCCACCCCGAAGCTCGGAGCAGTGCGAACCTCCATCTTTTTCAGACCAAAGTGACTGCATTCCAGCCATCTGACCCCATTACCTGTTTTGTTTTTGTTGTTGTTTTGGTTTGGTTTGGTTTGATTTGTTTTTTTTTTTTCTTTGATAGTAAACACAACTCAGGAACTGACAGTTGTATCCCAGGGGAAAAAATGAGAAAAGTTCCAAATGGAGCAGGTAAACTATGATGAGGTGCCTAAAATTTAGAAGAGAAACGGCTTCAAATGGCCATTGTTACAAGTCCACAGCAGCTTTGAACTAAGGGTAACTTATCGCTTATGAACACACAGAGATCGCTGGATAAGTTAATGGAATAGATAGAACCTCTGGAAACCTCTCTCATTTGGCACCATGATTTTTCATAACCTTGACAAGGCAGTTACACAGGACAGAGATGTTTTCCAGCCAATGACCACAGGACAACTAACCACCCATGTAGGAAAGGACGAAGCTGAGCCTCTACTTTGTACCATACCAAGGCCAACTCATACAGGCTCAAAGACAAGAGGTGTTTGAAAAAGAGTGCCTCCCACAGGCACGGGTATTTGAATACTTGTTCACAAGTTGGTGGAGCGGTTGGGGGAAATGGTATAGTCTCACTGGGGGTGGGCTTTCAGGGCTCATAGTCTCTCCCGACTTCCAGATTGCTCTCTCTACTTCAAGTTTTCTGCTAAAGACACGATATCTGGATTTTCCATTCTGGCTTCCCTGCCATGCCTCCTCCTCCATGCTGGACTCTTGCTCTGGAACTCTAAACCCCAATAATGAACTCTTCCCGTAAGTTTCCATGGTCATGGTCCATTTCCATGGTCACAGCCACAAAAAACGTACCTAATACAAAGATCAAAAAGTGGATCAAGCCGTGAATCCTTTTAAAGAAAGTGAATTCTAATGGTTTTTCACTTTCAGGCAACAGAGGAATAATACTGATGATGTCCTTTGAGAGTAAAAGCTTTTATCCAGGTGCAGTAGTGTGCATCTGTGGTGGGGAGGCAGCTAGGGAGGCCAAAGGGACGATCATCAACCCAGGAGGTCCAGCTGGCCTTTGTAACAAGGCAAACCTTCATCTCAAAAATAAATAAAGATAAACCAACAAAAAATAGAAATATTTTTTGCTTCAAAGGACTGAAAAGGTGGCTCAATGGATCCAGAGTCTTATCATTGGGCTTGACCACCGGAGGCCATCTTTGTGACACACATCATAGAAGAAGAAGAAAACTCAATCTTAAAAGTTGTCCTCTGACCTCCACACACTGTGAGAGAGAGAGAGAGAGAGAGAGAGAGAGAGAGAGAGAGAGAGAGCGCTTTGAAGAAAGAGAAAAGAGAGCTGAGTGTGACTTAATGATAAAGCTTGTCCTTGGCATACCCCAGGTCCTGAGTTCAAACCCCTGCAAGTACACACACAGACACACCTGGGTTCGGGTGGATAACCAGACAGAGAGAAATGTTCCCAGGCCATGTGTGTTCCAGTTGCCTAGTTCCTTCTCCACCTGCAGAGGTGTTTCCCCTGTGTCCTCCTTCTGTCTCACGGAAAGCTATCTGCAGGTTGTTCTATTCCAGATAGTTTGCATAGATAGACTCATACAATGAGCATGCAGCCTTCCACCTCCACCAGAAGCCCTTGGGCAGTGGAGTGAAAATACAGCGCAGCTTTAGAAAAGCTATTGGTGGTATTGATTGCTGGAAAACAAATGGGGAGTGCTGGACGATCTCTTTTTGCCCTTCCATGTTGACGTCTTATGATCCTGCACAGAGATGGCATCTCTTAGAAAACAGGCGATGGACTAGGTGCTGAGTTTTCCTCGAGGGTGTAATTGTGTCAGTCTGTAAATGCGTTGCATCTCAAGGCAGCGATTCTGAATGATCCATTCCTCTGTTGCAGCATGGGAAACGGCCAGCACATGGCAAGCAAAGGCTGAGCTTTCTTCCCTGTAGTTCTGCAGACATCCACCCCCAGAACGCTCTCAGGGTTGGGTTCAAGGTCTTCTCCAGTAATGGCTGGATTCAGAGCTAGGCAGAGGGGGTGCTAGTCTTAAAAAGACATGAAACACTGGTACATGCTCCAACAAGGATGAATCTGGAAAGTATCACACTAAGTATAAGAAGCCAAACACGCCAGGTGGTGGTAGTGCACGCCTTAATCTCAGCACTCAGGAGGCAGAGGTCTCTGTGAGTTTGAGCCTGGTCTACAAAGGGAGTTCCAGGACAGCCAGGGCTACACAGAGAAACCCTGTATTAAAAAGAAAAACAAACAAAAAAAAAAGAAGTGGGGGGGGGCCGACAATCTCTGAACTTAGAGATGGTGGTACATACCTTTAATCTCAGCACTTGGGAATCAGAAGCAGGTGGATTCTGTGAGTTCAAGACCAGCCTGGTCTACAGAACAAGTTCCAGGACAGGCTCCAAAGGTACAGAGAAACCCCGTCTTGAAAGAAGAAGAAGAAGAAGAAGAAGAAGAAGAAGAAGAAGAAGAAGAAGAAGAAGAAGAAGAGGAGGAGGAGGAGGAGGAGGAGGAGGAGGAGGAGGAGGAGGAGGAGGAGGAGGAGGAGGAGGAGGAGGAGGAGGAGGAGGAGGAGGAGGAGGAGGAGGAGGAGGAGGAGGAGGAAGATATGATTGCACCTGGGCTCCCTTATATGAGCTATCCAGAGAAGGGAACCCCATAAAGGCAGAAAGCACTGTTGTGGTAAATGAGATCTATGAAAAGGGGAGATTGGGAAGTAACTGCTTATAGGCAAGTCTTTTCTTTTAGGGGGTAATGAAAATATTTTGGAGTTAGACATAACAAGTAGACAAGGCATTTGACTTTACTCTTTGAGAAGATAAATTTAAAAGTATGCTAATTTTGCCTCAATTGAAAAACGATCAGACACCTGTTGTCCTGCCTGTATTTTAAAAAGTATCAGCAGGCTATAGTGGCACGTGTAATCCTGGCACTTGGGAGGTAGAAGGGAGGAAGGAAAGGAGTTCAGGCCCATCCTCGGCTGCATAGTGAGTTCAAAGCTAAACTGAGAAACATGAGACCTTAGAACTCAAGAGTTAAAAACCAACAACAACAAACGTCTAAGTTGAAGAAAGGAAATGAAAGAAGTTTCTCCAAAAAAAGGATGCACAGGAACCCAATGCGCACGAATGTTAAAGACAATCACATGGGGAAACCCACTTCCCACTCACTGTGGAATTCTGATTCAAAGAGAAAAAAGTCAGCTGGCGCCATATGATGGCGAGGATGTGGAGGCCATGAAACCTTTATGTTTTGCTGGAGGGGGTGGCAAGTGGCGCAGCCGTTTAGGAAAACTTTCTGTTGGTTCTTCAATCAAATACAGAGGAACTATGTGACCCAACCACTTCACTCCAAGGTACAAGGATGGGAGAGCAGTGGCCGTGTGCCAAACCCATGCACAGATGTTCACAGAATCGTTGCTTTGACAGCCCCAAATGGAAGCAATCCAAAGGCACAACCGCTGACTACAGTAGTATATCATACAATAGAACACTATTGAGCAGTGCAAAAGTATTGTTATGTACAACAGAATGGTTGAATCTTGAAACAGTGTTAAGAGCAAGAAGCCAGTCATTAAAAAAAAAAAAGTACAATTCCATCTATGAGAATGAATAGGCAAATTAAGGATGACTAAGATTAGCTTAGAAGCCACTCGGGGCTGTAGAGATAGGTGGAGAAGAAAATGGATTAGTGAGTCCAGTTTCTCACACAGCAGATGAAAATGTTCTAAAATTAGCTTGTGACCGGTAACTTCACAACTGTCAGTGTGCTGACAGTACCTCCCTGCGCACGTCAAGCTAAGCATGTGACTCGCATGATGAGAATGACATCTCCCAAAGGGGCTTTGGGTGGGGCTGCAGGCATTGAATGTCGGGCAGGCTCAGCAAATGAAGAACTACAGCAATCAAAGGCACCGCACCCTGTACTGTGCGTCTTGGTCCCCCTCCTCCTCCTCCCTCCCCCTCCCCCCCCCTTCCTGTCTGTTTCTCACTGCTCTGACAAGTACCTGGCAAACGAAACTGGGCAAAGGAAGGAAGGGTTTCCTGGGGCTGATGATTTGAAGTTGAGGGTACAGTCCACGATGGCGGGAAGGCATGGGTACGGTACTGTGCAGGTCTGCTGCATCCACAGTGAGGAAGCAGAAAGAAGCCAAAGTCAGTGCTCGGTTCCCTTTCTCCTTGTTATTTATTCACTTCAAAACCCAAGCCCAAGGGATGGCACCGCCCACCGGGTAGTTCTCCTCTCTCGCCAGTTAAACCTTCCTCGGAAACACCCTCAGAGACACACCTAGAGGTGTGCTTCCTGGGTGGCTCTAATTATCCAGTTTGGTTGACAATAATGATCAGTTTTCATATAAAACACACACACACACATCTAACTGGGAGCTCTGTCTGTGTGCACTTTGCTAGAGCTTCATAAAGTTTGTTTCTTTCTTATTCTCTGTTGTTATTGTTGTTACTAGTCTTTTGTTTCATTTCATTCTCTTTAACACTTCCATT